GTTAACATCGCTTAGCTGAATACCTTGGGGTGGGACACATCCACATACTCTTGTGCAATGGACAACTGAAGCAACAGTAGGTGGATGTGTTAAGAAGGAAGGATGGATATTTGCCAGGGAGCCAGTATCAGCAGGACAGGCAAAAGTTGGTTTTGCATTGGATGTGGAGAGGATACCAGTAGGGAGGCAAGTCGGGGACTGGGAGGAATTTCAGAGCTGAGGGTGCAGTTTCCCATTTCACCTGCCTCCCTGGGCCCAAAGCAGGCTGCAGCTGCTGCGAGGGGCAGACAGCTGGGCTGCGGACACAGCCAGAGCCCCTCGCTCAGCCCTGGGGACAGTGGGCTTTGCGAGCGGGATGCTGGGCCCCTGGCAGCTGCTGGGACAGGCAGCATAGGCAAGGTGAAGCATTCGGTTTCCCTCCTGGCACCTCTTTTGTGCTGTTGAAACAGTCGTGAGTCGGTCTTCACATATAGTTGAGTTTGTCATGTTGGTACCTTTGACTCAGTAGCTGCATGGTTGAGTGTAGTTTTGTCTTCTCATGTTTCTGTTCACCTTTTCTCTGCACTGTACTGTATTCCCTCTGCACTGAGCATCTGCAGCGGTTTGAACCATTGCTGCAAAGGAGGATTATCTTTCATTTAAGAAGACGAACCCATCACTTAAATCTCATTTATCATTCATCCTATCCTCAAAACTGCAGACATTCAGTTATTAAACACAGGGAGAGCATGAGCATCCTTCTTAAGATCCTAAAATCCAATCAGGAAGGTGTTTTGATGACTGAAGTTTGGACTACATCTAGCAAGGGGAAAGAGCTGTCACTCAGCGCAGATCTGTTTATAAATACTGCTCTCCTGAAGACAACTGACAATTGTAATGGGGCTAATTCTTCTAGCAGCATTGGCATAACACCATCAGGGCTGTCTGGCACTGCACAGGATATTTCTTCCGTGAAAGAAAACTAATCCTAAGCAAAATGGTTCTAGTGTGAGTTATGTTCCTTAAAGTGCTATTACAGCAAGTAAAACAAGTGGCATCATTTCTCAGTGTTTTAAAATAAGCTACCCTGAAATCAATATGGATTTATTCCTTGTCTCTTCCCACAGTATCCAGAAGGATCTTTCCATTCCTCTTTCAGACAAAAATGTATCTTCATTTAATGCATATTATGCATTGCACCTGCTGTAAAACAGAATGTACATTTGATTGACTGTCTTGAACCGATCAATCCCTGCCCCCGAGCAATTCCAGCTGACTCAGTGGTGATGAATAGTCCCCCTTACGGATCTAGATCTAACTGTGACGCTAGACTTAACAGGTTCTATTTTTTGCTAAATGATGGTTTAACTTCCTTTTTCACATGAAAGTGTGATTTCTATTCATTTTTTTTTCATTCATAATCTGAGTAATGCCTGACTTTTTTGTTTAATGTACATGAAGTCTTGTCATGTTTAATTATATAAGATGTCCAAAGGCTGCATATAGTGGCTTGGATTTTTCAGGACTTTATGGTTTGTAATTTAAAAGTCAGAAGTCAAATTTGGTTGTTGTGGGAGTTGGTTTAGCTGTATGAGAAGATGATGACCTTACTAGTGTTTTTCCATACCAGAAGCAGATAGTTTCCAAAGCACTTCGGCTGGAGGGGCAGAGTGTAAGTTCTGTTTATTTTCAGTGGCATCTCCATGGTTCTGAACCTCTATCCGGACTCTTCATGGGCTATAGCGGGCTAGTTAAAAAGCAAGGTTTAGGTCAGCTACTTCTGGTATCAGCGTGGGAGAAATGCATGTTGTGGAGCAACTTAAGGAAGAATGGCTTTTAGGACCACAGTTTCTTTGAGCAGAGACTGGGCAACTTTGGTCCAGAAATGGAAGCTTCACCAAGAAATGGCTCTGGAGCAAAACAAAATGTTTTAAGCATCGAAACGTCATTTGATTCTGGTTTCTCCTGAAGGGCATAGCTACTATTTCAAAGAGCCTTATTCCCAAGAAACAGCTCAGCATGATTGGCCTTGTTAGAGGAAACTCACTGTCTGAGCAGCAGGTAATTGGCTGGCTCACTTAAATAAGAACAAGTATAACAGAGCAGGGAGTCATTTCTTACTGCTTATTACTATTGCAATAATCCGATATGCAGTTACTTGCTAACAGAATGGTTACAACTATTTCTGATTATCTGACTTTTGCACTACTGACTGCTGTACCAGAATGTATCAGAAGTGAGTCTGGATTCACTCAAGGTGGTTTTCAAATCCAAATCTCAGGCTCGTGGGAGAGTTGCTCCCTGCAGAAAGAGATGCAGATGCTATCACTAGCCCACAAACACTTCATTAGCATTAAACCTTGCACTACAAGCAGTGGGATTGGCTGTGTTTTTCTAAAAACAGATTATTATTTTGGAAAAAGGGTAGGGGAATTGATGGCAGGCTTTACAGCTGGCACATAGCTGAATTTTATCCTCTTTCACATTGTCATAGCATTGCACTGAATCTTTGTATCTCAGTGTAGATAAGTAGGTGATGAACAACAGCTGTTGATAACTGTAGGCTTAAGGTTTGAGAAGTGTCACATCAGAATTCAGAACCACCTTTGCTATATAACAGGTGTTTAATTATAATTTTTAAGATTCTACAATCTACCACACCTTTTATGTCCAGATTTTTTTCCTACCCATTTTTGTGCTGGATTTAGTATCTTGGTGTCTATCTTCTATACTAAGTAAAACTGACAGTGTGGACAGCTTGTGTTTGTAATAGGCTGATGTGCACTTACCTGGCCTGCAGAGGGGGGCAAGGACGTGCTTGCTTACTGTCTCTGTTCGTTAGCATTGTCTCAGATATTGTTGAGCACTGTGAGGCACATTTCAAAATAGAAAGGTCCTACAGGAGGTTGGGTTTTGTGCAGCTCTTGCTGGTGACTGAGCCCGGATGAGCTGCTGTAACACAAAATCACAAAACAGAGTGCTGATGTGCCTCCTTCCACTGAGGCTGGGCCCCTTCAAGCAGATCTGCTCCAGAAGGGAGAGAGAAAAGGCTTCAAGCTTTCTACTCACATCTGAAAATCGGTTTGGCAGGTATCATATAGCAAACTTCCTTCCCACTTACTTTATCTGCGCTGTGACTGAGCAGTCCCTGGGGAAGTATTCAGTTATATCAGTATATGGCAGCGCTCCCTAGCACCACAGCAGATGTCTGCATGTGCATTAAAGATAAGAGAGGATGATCTCCAGCTCTGAAATATAAGGCCACACAGGGGACAGAAGTAAGGCAAAACCAAATGGCCAGAGATCAAGACTTGTGCAGGAGGGAGCCCAGTGGGGCATGTAAACAGCTGTCATTATTAGAGGTGAGCTGATTCCTCCTGAATAAGCAATCTTTTTTTAATATACTGAACCTGAAACAAGTTTGGGGATGGTCTTCTCTGAGAATAATCTATTTTAGACAAAGTGAATGATTCTGTATTTTCTTCCTGTCTAGTCAAAACAGATAGGCCTGAAACACATGTTATTTTGCAAATGAGAACATAAATTTTGACTAATGAAAGCATTTACAAGTACTCATTACTAATCTGGAAGCAGTCAGCTGTCTTAAAGAATTCAAGTATAGCGAAGGTCTAAGGCAGCACTGCAGTCAGTCTTGTAGGGAGACCTGAGAGCTGCTGTGCCTTCCTCTACGGGCAGAGGTAGGTGCAGAAGCACAGAAGGCAGAGGAAGGGTAGCAAGAGGTCTCATCTCTGCTCAGAAAACTGATCCAAGCTGTTCCACAACCCATCTGCCCTAATGATTTTCTGTCACGGCATATCAGGTGGCTTTGAGCACCAAGATTCAAATGTGCCCAGCAGGAGTGTTGACTTTCCTTCCCTGAAACAAACTAGTCAGTATTCTTGAGTCTAAAGCCCTGTAGGATGGAGCCAGGCTCTGCTGGAGTGACTGTTATTTAACAGCCCCCGTTTCAGTAATATTGTGAAATAATACTAATCCATGCAAGTGTTATTGGTGGATTGTATTTCTCTCTGCTTCTAGGGGTAAGGAAGTATATCACAAGTGACTGGAGAACAAAACCATACTGAAATCAGTCATCTGGATACAGTTTAAGAGTGTTTGAAGCTTAACTGCACACACTAGGGACTGTTGCTGGCAAAAACATACAGCCTTTCAAATTCAGTTTTCTTTGAGCAGTTTGTCTTCGATCTGATCTTTGTAACAGATCCAGTACAGAATCAACAGGTTCTGAATTGATGCTTCTCTTTGCTGTCACCAAGCAGAATCTCAGTTATTAAAAATTTAAAAGAAACATATGAGTATTATTCAAAATTTTAATGCAAGTTTCTTTGAATTTTGAATTAATAAAATTTTTATTCTTTAATAAGAAGTATTCACAATACCCTGCAGAAGCAGCGCAAAGCCACAGTGTTTTGTCCTGATCCAGGGCTATGATTTTTAGTTCAGAGTAGCTTGGGCTATAATTACTCCCACCCTCCTTCTGGTCTGAGCTACAGGCACCTGTGTGTTTCAGCTGTTCCTCACATGTTGCTGTCCCAGGAGCCTGGCACAGGGGAGCCGAGCTTCCTCACAGCCAGGAAGCTGCTTAACAGCCCAGGCTCAAAGAGAAAGGCAGCCAGCAGTAACCAGCTGGCTAGTTTAAAGGTACTGTAGATCATCAATGCTTGCATTCATGCAAGTTAGGTCTTGCTAGGCTGTTCCCCATTCTTTACATGAGGAACCTCCCACCTATACCAACTCAAGGTTTACTGCTGCCGTGAAAAAAAAAAAAGCGCCTTTCATAACAATTAAACTGTTATTAGTTATGTTACTAGTGGTAGGATCTATTTTTCAATTTCAAAGCAAGAGTCAGGAATACAACAGAACAGATTTTAGAAGCCTGTGCTTGGGGGAGAAAGTAATCCAATAATCTTCATGCTACCTTCTTAACCTAGATGAACAAAATAAACCATTCCAAAACCAGCAGGTATGCGTGGCAGTATCTTGTTGAGATATACTGCATTTTTCTTGCTGTCCTCTCTCACATCTGGTCGAGAATAAGATCTAATTATATGGATTACAGTAGATTTAGTAAGGCCTGCACCTGTGCTAAGCTAAAGCAATTACCCTCCTGTTTGTTAGGGGAATTATTCTCCTTTCTTTCTCCAAAGTTGCTCTTTCTCGACTTTCCCAACAAATTGCAGAATGTCTTCAGCAAGAAGTTCAGGTTCCTCCAAAGCTGCGAAGTGGCCACCTCGAGGCATGAAATTGAAGGAAACTATGTTGGTGTATTTCTTCTGGGCCCAGGCCTGGGGTGTGTGCATGACTTCATTAGGGAAGGAGGCAATGCCAGTAGGTACTTGTACTGTGAGCCTGAGAGGGGAGAGAATAATTTTAATCTTTCACTTAACTCAGCAAGAAATGGAAAGTCCCGTGGAAATATTGTTCTTAAGCAGTTGGGCACATTATTAGGCAATTAAAACTTGACTTCCATATCCTTAATTTGAACATTTGACAATGCTCCTATTCCTGGGGGGGGAATTCTAATTTTTGCATCAAGTTTCCTCATGCTGCAATCGGGGCACAAGAGTCATGTATTGAGGGGAAAGCACACAATTTGACAAGGGCTGGAGAGAGAGATTTACAGTGAAGATTACAACTGAAACATGTTGAGCCTGTCAGGACAACTGGAGGGTAGGCAGGGGAAGAAGTATCTTGAACTACTGCAAAGGGGGAGGAGAGGGGAGAAGTAATAAGAGAGTAAATCTGTAATAGTTCAGAGGAAACACTTCTGACCGTGAGACTACCCTGTAAAGTCGCTCTTGCTTTTAACTGGAACAAATGTACTCTACAGAACATTTTGCACATTAGTAAGTATAGCGAAGCAACTGGATTTGAGGGGAAAAGTACCTTCGAAAGTGTAACAGTCCACACTTGTTATAAACAGAGCAACAGTTTCTAAATGTAAATATCCCATACACAAGACTTCATTGTCAAAAGTGACAGACTTTAAAATTTAGATACAAGAGTTGTTGGGCACATCACCACTGGAAGCCTGAAAACAGGGTGCCTAATTTTACGTAGGACTTTAAGACTCTTTCCTCTAGGCACATAGAAGCTCAAAGAGCTCATCTCATGTAGGCAGAACTGGAGCAGGATGCTGCCCACAGTGTAGCCACAGCAGCTTCAAGAACAGAGTCAGCTTCCTGGGAGCATCATTTCACAGCTAAATAAATACCATAGCACCAAGCTGTGGTTGCGAATACCTCAGGGCAGGTTTAAGCCTTCAGAAATATTCAAGCTGACACAAGTATATGCAACCAAGCTGCTGTCTTAAGTGTCTGCACAGCAGGAACATCAGTCTTAATGACTTTCAAATTATTCAGTTTGTCAGTATATTGAAGTTGCTTCCAAAGGTAGGACTTAAATCTTTTGCAGAAATAGGCAAACTATGTCCAGAAAAGTACTAGAACTACAAACCAAATAAACTATAAACAAAACTAACTGCATGACTCAGTTGCAGGCTAATTTAGTAACTGAAGTAAATAAAATCTGGAAGTCCTTGCACATGCTTTCCCCTAGTTGGATGCACCATGGATGGGAGGTCTTCAAGCACTGCCTCCAGTCAGATTCTTCTTACTGATGGTTCAGGATTCTTACCTAATTACTGTGTTTTCCAGGCACAACACAGTACACAACTAACAGACCTGTCCTGCAGAGGAACAGGGTGATACAGCATTGCTTTTCGTCAGCCTTCAGAAACTTGCAGTAGCTATAAGGCATAAGCAACCTGTCTTCAACCATAAAATAAGATTCAGGCCAAAATATTTAAAGAAAAAATCCACTTACCTTTCATGTTTCTCTGTGCCTATCCCCTTCTGCAAATTTTCTTTGTAAAAACGCATTGATGAGACTATACAGCCTGACACCCAGTAGATCATGATATTGGTGAGCAGATCATCCAGGTTAAACTTCCTGAATAGGTAAGCCCAGAGATTGCTTAGTTAGAACTGAGTAGCATTTTGCATTACTTTAGCAGGGACTTGACTTTTGTTTGGTTTTAAGAAAAAAGTTACAAGGAAAAAATAGTTAACTTGGTTAAGAAAAGGCTGAAAGGTGAAGTGTATCCCCTTCTGTCTGTCAGTAGCCAAATAAACATGTTAAAGGCTTTCAGACACAAACTGGGAAGTGACATTTCAACTCCTGCACAGTAGGCAGACTCCAACAAGCACTTTATGCCCCAGCGTAGCTGTCTATGCTGTCCATAGATGGGAGGGTAGGAGCAGAACAGCACATGGAACAGCTTGTGCCATTTATTATTTGTAATTTGAAATGCTACCATGAGCCTTCAATAGAGCCATCACACCAACATGTGCTGCTGTAAACAGCGCATGTTTCATATCAAATTATTAGCTGTATGCAGTGCAAACATTCTATTCAAATCCGTTGTCCCTAGACCTTTTCATAACATGCTCCTTCACTCCACTCCTGCCAGGTAGCTCAGCAGTTTCCAAAGGGGTCTTCATCTCAGATTTCTGCTGCACACTAAGAATGATCCTTTATTAGTAAACAGTAGGTAAATGAAGCAATACTGATCAATTTAAAGCTAATTCATAGAGAGTTAAGTATTAGTATTAAAATGAATTATGAGTTCTGTTTCCCAGCATCTTAATGTAGGTTAAACTTTTATTTTTCTGTCCTAATGATGTTCTCCCATCTAAGTCAGTTTTTAATCCCCAGAAGTTGCAGGGGGCAGAACTGGAGCAGGATGCTGCCCACAGTGTAGCCACAGCAGCTTCAAGAACAGAGTCAGCTTCCTGGGAGCATCATTTCACAGCTAAATAAATACCATAGCACCAAGCTGTGGTTGCGAATACCTCAGGGCAGGTTTAAGCCTTCAGAAATATTCAAGCTGACACAAGTATATGCAACCAAGCTGCTGTCTTAAGTGTCTGCACAGCAGGAACATCAGTCTTAATGACTTTCAAATTATTCAGTTTGTCAGTATATTGAAGTTGCTTCCAAAGGTAGGACTTAAATCTTTTGCAGAAATAGGCAAACTATGTCCAGAAAAGTACTAGAACTACAAACCAAATAAACTATAAACAAAACTAACTGCATGACTCAGTTGCAGGCTAATTTAGTAACTGAAGTAAATAAAATCTGGAAGTCCTTGCACATGCTTTCCCCTAGTTGGATACACCATGGATGGGAGGTCTTCAAGCACTGCCTCCAGTCAGATTCTTCTTACTGATGGTTCAGGATTCTTACCTAATTACTGTGTTTTCCAGGCACAACACAGTACACAACTAACAGACCTGTCCTGCAGAGGAACAGGGTGATACAGCATTGCTTTTCGTCAGCCTTCAGAAACTTGCAGTAGCTATAAGGCATAAGCAACCTGTCTTCAACCATAAAATAAGATTCAGGCCAAAATATTTAAAGAAAAAATCCACTTACCTTTCATGTTTCTGTGTGCCTATCCCCTTCTGCAAATTTTCTTTGTAAAAACGCATTGAGGAGACTATACAGCCTGACACCCAGTAGATCATGATATTGGTGAGCAGATCATCCAGGTTAAACTTCCTGAATAGGTAAGCCCAGAGATTGCTTAGTTAGAACTGAGTAGCATTTTGCATTACTTTAGCAGGGACTTGACTTTTGTTTGGTTTTAAGAAAAAAGTTACAAGGAAAAAATAGTTAACTTGGTTAAGAAAAGGCTGAAAGGTGAAGTGTATCCCCTTCTGTCTGTCAGTAGCCAAATAAACATGTTAAAGGCTTTCAGACACAAACTGGGAAGTGACATTTCAACTCCTGCACAGTAGGCAGACTCCAACAAGCACTTTATGCCCCAGCGTAGCTGTCTGTGCTATCCATAGATGGGAGGGTAGGAGCAGAACAGCACATGGAACAGCTTGTGCCATTTATTATTTGTAATTTGAAATGCTACCATGAGCCTTCAATAGAGCCATCACACCAACATGCGCTGCTGTAAACAGCGCATGTTTCATATCAAATTATTAGCTGTATGCAGTGCAAACATTCTATTCAAATCCGTTGTCCCTAGACCTTTTCATAACATGCTCCTTCACTCCACTCCTGCCAGGTAGCTCAGCAGTTTCCAAAGGGGTCTTCATCTCAGATTTCTGCTGCACACTAAGAATGATCCTTTATTAGTAAACAGTAGGTAAATGAAGCAATACTGATCAATTAAAAGCTAATTCATAGAGAGTTAAGTATTAGTATTAAAATGAATTATGAGTTCTGTTTCCCAGCATCTTAATGTAGGTTAAACTTTTATTTTTCTGTCCTAATGATGTTCTCCCATCTAAGTCAGTTTTTAATCCCCAGAAGTTGCAGGGCGTATCTCTTTTCTAGGATATCAAAGTGGGAAGGGAATACATCAGCCTTCATTGCCTATTAGCTTCTTTGCATGCTGTAGTACAGCACTACATCATTTGTGGTCACTACAGGCTCCCTACAAGATGTGAGGCGATCAATTCAGACAAACTTCTTTAGCTCTGGGTGTAGTCATCTCATCCAAAATGGCATAAGAGGTAACGCTTACCTCTCTACTCCTCCATCCTCTAAATTATGGAATTCCAGATCAGTCCATGTAGAAAACTTCTCCAAGATGTATGCAGCCAGTCCTACAGGAGAGTCATTCAAACCACAGCCTGAAAAGGAGAAGGAAAATTTAACTAAAATTGCGACTACTGAACACAGACTGTTATAGAAGCAGCCCATTATAATACAGGGTAGATGATAACTTTACAAAGCTATTCCAGTAGCCATGTTCTTAAATAAATAAGTAAAATACTAGAACAAGTTGGAGCCGTTTATTGTGGAATCATTAACTGATAGTATCTGCAAACCAACAGGCTCTGCATTAGCTCACACTGTATGTTTTTTGAACTGATGTAACAGTATTGGATTTCTGCTGGCTTTTTTTTTTTTTTCTTGTAAGCTAATAAGATTAAGCTCTATGTGCCAAGGAGGGTTTTCTTCCATTAATCTGGAAGTTGTCATGTATTAAACAGCATTACAGGACCAAACCCACATGCCTACACATGACCGGGAGAATTTGCACCATTATCTAACAACAAAAACATTTTAAGGATTATTAGAAAGTCATTAAAGAAGAGCAAGGCTTCTGAATTAGCAATAGCCAACTGCCTTCATGTAGAACAAGGCTGAATATACTTTTTATAGTTTGTTTTGCTTGGACAGAAAAACCATACCCGCACCTGGAACTTTGCTAATACATCCTAGTGCTGTGAAATACAGGGACCATAAACTGTCCCAGCTGCTCAGAAAAACTTCAGAAAAAGCTTTTCCTGTGGAGCAGCAATATGTCTGAAGTTCTACCCGTGCAACTCAACCTTCCTGAAAGATATCTAACACTATAGCTGGCACAATTTAATCAGTAATTGCTATTTAAACATGATAGTTGAGTTTCAGTTACCAAACAAGTAACATTGACAACTGAAATACCAAGTGTTTGAAAAAGTTATGGTGAGCATGCTTTCCAGGTCTGCAGAACTAGACAAGCAATAGCCTGTTCTTATATATGTACTGTGAACAAAGAGTACACTGGTTTACATGTAGGAAAAATTGACATTGATCCTAACAGTACTTTAATATCGGCTCTGCCTGTTTCAGTCAGTTGAAACTGAACCCACACTCCATGCAGGCTTCCCAAAGAATAAACATAAAATCAAATCCATGCAAGCCACTTTGATCAAAAGCCAGCTCTGAAGCAATCCAGAGTATAGTATTAGCAAGCACAGTACATATCAAGAGCCAGAGACAACTTCCTTGTGTAGGACACAAGGTAGCCCTGTACCACCAAAAGTCTCAGGAAGACTGTGATAGCCTCCATGGCTGTGCTTCTTCCAGCTTCCTTGTGCTCCCTTCTTCAGAGCATCTTTCTCCCTGTAGGAACCTGCCACGCTCCTCTCTTCTTTGTCCTCAGAAGTGCAGAAATGCTCCTGCTCCAGCTCCCAAAACACAAACTAGCTGCTGATTCCCAGTCTGCACAGTCCGCTCTGACAGACCACACGCTACTGGCAGGGACAAAAATCAGCCAGGAAAACACAGCAGAACGAGCATCTTTCAGCTGCCAGCTTCCCCATCTTTTCTTAAAGCACAAAAGGAATTACAGACTAGTAACTTTTAGAAACAAAAACTCAAAGGAAGCAAAATGATTTTAAATCCATAAAATTATAATTTTGCCAGCACGTTTTAAGAATATACCTGCTCCTGTAGGTAAGCTTATAGAAAACCATTAAGAAATAGTTTCCTTAGCTATTTTTTTAATAAAATCCACAAGTGAATTGCTGCTGCACTAAATTAAAATATATTCAGTATTCTTGATGCCATTGTCCAATTCAGTTGCAAAAGATGTTTTTAAAATAGAAACACTTAATACTCAGATACTTAAAGTAGTTAAGCAATCTGAGTGACTAGCTCATCTAGAAAGAACATTCAGCTTTTCTTTTTTCCTTGAAAGTCTGCAAGGGATTCAGAACAATGAGTGAGAACTAAATTTGATTTTACTTGTCAGGTATTACTTATCCCTATAAATAAGCTACATTCCATGCTGAGACAGCTAAAAACTTCTTGTAGTTTACATCATTTGAATGTGATCCATACTCGGTAAAGAAACTCTTTTGCTCTCAGCATAGCTGAATTTGAAGTAGAATTACAGTCCCCAGTGGTACCAGAAGTGGAAAAGTATTAAACAAACTGTTTATGAAAACTGAAAATGAGGTCAGTGGCACATGGAGCATGCTCAATTTTGATGTGCAGATTGACCGCTTCTGCATGCAAAAGTGAGTGTAATACTGCATACCCTTATGTAACTTTTTCTGACTTGGACACAGAAAAGGAGCCCACCTTTTAAAACCTCTAACCTTTCTACTTCAACTTTGCTGAAAACAACCCTGATTTTTCTGCATATCTTAAGCAGTATGTTTCATTTCTATGAAAGTACAACTAAAATGAACAGACTAAGTATTCTGAGCTCAAAAGGGGTTTTTGTTTGTTTTACCAACAGTATCAGGTTTTGTAGCCTGTATGTGAGCGTAGCCAGACTCCAACAAGATCCTGTAGAGCACTTTTTTCAAGAAGGGAAACATCCGCCTAACATCTTCATCCTGGAAACCGAAGAGCCCGGGAAGATAGCGGCCCAGCAGAATGGAGAGCAGGTGAGTGAATCCCATGTTTGTAACTGAGGCTAGATTTAAATGGAGACCTTTCATATGGCTAAAAATAAAAACAGAAAAAGCCCCCACAAATGAATAAAAATAAAATGCAATTCAAAGTTGTTATATTTAAAATGTTATTAACAAAAATGGACATACTTAAATTCTGGCCTGCTAACTACATTGTGACCTTAGTTGTACTTTGTGGTGTGACTTTTCACACAAAAAAGACAAGTCAAAGGGGCAGCTGTCAGTAATCAGCACACACTCCTGGACACTAAACCACAAATCCTCCTTTTGTTACAAGTACTTAGCCCACTCCAAATCCCAGTGGGGCCATTACAAAACTACTGCACAGCTGTTTAAAAGAACAGGTATACAGTATAAACTAAGGTATGTAATTCTGGGTCACTGCAAAGAGACACTACACAGTGCTTATATGAGGACTTGGACAGGAACTCTCTAGTGTGCAAGAAACAACTATTCCAAGAATAAAACAGCTTTGCCTGCCAACCATGTAGCAGACTACCAAAGGGGTACTCACTTGGGAGCCATCTGGGCCAGATTGGTGCAGATGAGCCAGCCCCAGTCACCACCTTGTGCATAGAATTCGTTGAATCCCAGTCTGAGCATCAATTCATAAAAAATAGAAGCGGCACTTACAGAATTGAAGTCTGCATTTAAAAAAAAAAAAAATACTCCTGCATTAATTCCAGCTACACTTCTGACTCTGAAGCATTTATTCTCCCCATAAAGGCAATGTTCAATTTCCTAAAAAGCTACAAGTCCATTTTTCCGTGCCTGTCTGACAGACTATTTGGAAACCATTGTCACATCATCCAGGGAAGGTGTAGAGAGCAAGCAGAAATCATGAGGAGAAAATGCAGCCTTCATTGCCAACTAGTATTCTCCTAACCCCACCAGTTGCCCACACACTTGCCTGACTGAGGGGTCGCCAGACTCCCTTTAAACCGTAGTCATACTCCAGCTGAGCCCTATCAGAGGCACTGAGCATTGCACAGGCAGTGTTTCCATTTTGTCTACTGTGAGCAGAGTCTGATCTCAATGATAGTTGCAAACTTTAATTTTCCACTAGTAATGCACTTCTCCACTTCACTAAATACTGACCACATGAATCATAACCATGGAACTAGAGAAAAGCAAAAAGAACCTTCCCCACATCATTCACCTGCACACATAATTAAATACTAAACTCAGTATCACTTTAAATACTACATCACTCCAATTTGTTGCAGGTTGTGTTTGTACAATTCAGAGCACAAGCTGGACAAGCAGGTATTTTGCTGTAATCTACCATGTAGATACATGAATTGATTTGTTTCAACTGTTGCTTCCCACCTGCCTGTATGTGCTGTTGAACATGGATTCAAAACATCCAAAAGGGACAGTAACAAATTAACTTTACCCTTCCTGCTCACCCCCACACAATTCATTAACTCAATTACAATTCATGAGTTGTTACTTCATAACTTTTTATAGTTCTTTGTGAATTATATATACATTGCTCCTGAAACTGATCCATGGTGTCACCTGAAGTCACACTGTTAACTCCCCCTTCCCACAGGACACACAGGATCTTTGTTTCTACACTGGGAAAACAAGAAAAGCCAGAAGTTACTGTTCTGCTAATAGGGGCTATCTCACTGTAAGACTAGGCTTGTGTTAGTCACTTTCTTCTCATGCATCATACCTTTTTTGTGGGGTGCTTCTGAGAAACCATAACCTGGGATAGATGGGCAAATGACTTCAAAAACGTGTTCATCACTGAGGCCATGGCTTGCAGGATCCGTCAGGAGAGGGATGATTTTGTAAAACTCATAAAATGAGCCAGGCCAACCATGAACCATTAATAATGGCTTTGCAGACTGGCCTTCAGGCAAACGAGGAGGCTTTACGTGAACAAAATGGATATCAATGCCTGTAAAAATAAAATAATTAATTAACATGCCCAAATTTACCGTGAAACTGAAACTAATCACAAAACAGATTATGAATGTCTTTTCTGAAGTCCTTTTTTGGTGAGCATGCAAACACACTTTACTTCTCTGGATCCATTTATCCAAGGACCTTATAATAGGCAATTAAGCAGCACAGCAGCTAAATGAGGTCGTCATATTTCTGTTTTAAAATAAATTGGCAAATTAAGACATAGAAGTGAAGCAATCTACTAATGGTAACACAGTGACTCACACAGCTTAAAGGCAGAAGAGACGATTACATCATTTAGTCCGAGTGCCCTTAAATTTTACCCAAATGTCCCTATATGGCACTAGATAGGCTTCAACCAACCACAGATGTTTCTTCCTGAAAGGCATACAATTGCAACTTGAAGGCATCAAGAGATAGGGAATTCATCATAACTAGCAGCTGTTTGTTTGGGAGCGTTAATCACTTTCCATGTTTTGTGCATGCCTTACTTTCCATTTCAACACGTCTAGCTTCTGTCTCCAGCCATTGATCCTAACGTTACAGCAGAAGGCATTTAAAAAGCTGTCAGTAAATATACTCTGTCTGCAGGGGCCTCCTGTAATCGTCACACATCTCAACTGCTGATAAACCAATCATGCTGAATCAAAGACTTGAAAACATGCCTTGCTAAAAGAGAGTTAGTGTTCAGTTTTGTAGCTCCTTTCTAGCTTTTGTCCAAAGCTTTCAGTATCTTTCAGTATCAGTGAGTAAACCAAAACAGGAAACTATGTTCTTGTACCAGTCTCCTCATTGTTAAGTAAAAAGGTAAAAATTGCAGTCCTATTTCCTTTGTGATTCTTACAATAGGTAAACAGTAGGCTTCACACAGCTGCACTAGTTGAACTTGAACTGCTTTTCCTCAAACCCATTCAGGGCTTTGCTTTCCAGGAAACAATTTGCTCTTACTAGGGCCTAAATGCCTCACTTCTCACTTATATTTAGGCACATTTTGCTCACATCAACTCCAGCTCACCCACCCGTTTCACTGACTGAGATTTTCCCATCCTTGACAATTTTGTGGATTTCTGTATTCTCTGAAAACCTTTCAAGTGATGACAGAAGCTTGGAACATGATATATGGCATGTTTGATCTCGTCTTTTCATGGCTCATCTCTGTAATTGTCCCTAATGTTACAATTTCTCTTCCTATTGCTATACATAGTACATTGTCCTTAGCTTCTTTTCCCTTTCTTATCTCAGATGGTACTTTTTTTCTTTTTTTAAGGGAAGTCTCATCTTTTTCAGCACTAACCATGTTTTATACACTTAAATAAATCTTTTTGTTCTAACCACTGTGTAACAACCATTTTTTGCCCCCAATCCATTTAAAATATTACGGTGAACTGCCCCATTTGAAATAATGTACAATTGAGGGTGCAAGTAAAAACGTAATAGCATAATCTCAAGCTTGAATTCTGCCATCATGTGAGACAATTGCCTGCTGTGCTCTAAATCTACAACTGTACCCCCAAATGACCCAAGCATAACCTAATTCAAGCAATTGAAACGTACAGTTTGATGAGGCTCCAGCACCAGCAGACCTTAGCTGAATGGCCTCTTTCAAAAGGTGTCTGTGCTTTGTATGAGAAGACAAACCATTCACTCACACCTGGCAGCACATCAGTAGCAAGGGAAAGGCGTTCTGCATTTACTAGACCTATGAATGCTTGAAATGGTAATGGTGCAGCAGAGCACATCTGCCCTGCCAAGCAGGGACAACCTGAGCAGCCAGCACACCCAGCTGAGGACGGCTGCCAGACTGACAGTATTACCATGACAGCAGCAGCTGGGGAACTACGTGGAGCAAGAGGAGGCATCTGTGGGTATTTCTGCGTGATTGCATGCAAGTCAGAGAACATGTGTACATCTTAAGATCCAGTTCTGTTTCCAAATGCCTGTGCTTGGCTCCTGTTAACATCAGCTGACAACCCATCCATGCACAAGGGAATTCTATTTGTCATTCCTTGTCCTAAAGGCTTCAGTTACGATGAAGGAGTTTCTCGCTGCTTCATCATCACAGCCAATAATCCACGCCATGGCAGCCAGGGAGGGACGGCCCATGCGACACAACCATAGCATTCTTACCACCGAGAACCCTTGTAGACAACATTATGTATTACTGTTTGTTTATTTTTTTAAGGGAAAAAGCCACACACCTTGAATCTTAGTTTTGAATTGTGGGTACTTGTTGAGGACTTCAACTTGTTTCTTCCAATTGAACTGGTTTTTCCAGTAGGAGACAACCTTCCTGAGATACACCGAGTTAGTCCCATAATGGAAGCAACTGTTCTCCAGTGGCTCAGTGAATCGAGCCTGGTCAAGTCTCCTAAATAAGTCCTACAGGGAAAAAGAAAGAGAGATGTTACAAGCATTTGTGTCTGCCATCTTGCCTCTACTGTGCATAGTTTCTAATTATTCCCAAGTGAAACGAGAACAATGAAAGTAACATCTCTAATGACACCTGTGCATTTTGCTGATGCTCCATCAGCTGTTCCAATTCTTTTTCTCCTCCAGATGGCCTCCTTCCTCTTCCATTTACAGCTGTTCTTAACAGTCTCTCTCTCTCTTTGTTTTGCAGGGCTGGCTAACCTGTTTGCCAGGCTGATGACAATACAGTCTTCTGACACCACGGTGGCTTCACAGCATAAGTCTTGTTGCCTTTCCACGGTACTCTGCTCCCCAGGTTACCTGCGAGCCCAACCTCACAATCAATGTATGGATCTGGCCTGAACCTTTTGTTCTCCTTCCCAAACCAAGGGTCTGGGTGTCTTCCCTGGGAAACACTCTGAGGGACTTCGCATGGCCACAAAATTGGTGAAACTAGACTGGAGTGAAAGTTTCCCAATCTAGAAAAACTACTGAAGTGACCTTCCTACGGCACTTCAAGGTTACAGGGGATGCTGACAATACCATAAAATCAGTCCAAAAATCACTCGGCAGGGAACAACAGCCAAGAGCCTCTTCCTGCTGTGAACAGAACCACAGAATAATTGAGGGTGGAAGGCAGGTCTGGAAATCTAATCCTGCTCAAACCTCTGTGGGGTTTAAACCTGAACACCACTTTCTAATACAGCGATAGAGGTATCTCTCATTCTGACTAAGATGAGTGAGGTGTACGCACTCGCTCATGCCTCACACTGAACAGGCAGTCTAGGCAAGATGTTAGTATGTAAGCTCACCGTTTTTGGCATTTAACATGTACAGAAAGCATGGATTTTTAGATGAAGTTCTCAACGTGTCTTTACATACATGCTTTCTGTCTATGCTCAACACCTTTTAAAAAAATATCTTAGTAATGTATGCTAGCATAACTTTTAACTCCTAGTTTATGCAAACATTTAGAAATAGAGTTTTCTACTGATGAGTTATGTTGCAATAGCTGTCATAATACAGAACTGTGCATTTCAAAAACATCTGTAAGTTAGAAATTATCTAGCTTTGTGTCTGGAATGTAAAGGGAAAATATATTTGACATCAATGTCCATTGATATTACTAAGGACAGCAAACAAAGTGTTAAAAAACCCAGTCCTGACTGAGAAAATAGGAATCCATTGTAAATGAATAATATGAGCAATCCCATGAACACTGTTTGAACTACTACTCCACACAGATCTATGAAACTGTGCAATCCCTGACTTAAAAACATACACAATCAAAACCTTGCTGTCTAATTAATTCTGCAACGTGAGTTTACTGTAATTACCACTCTGGTATTAGTGTTGAGCAAAGTAGATCATTAATTACAGACAATCAGCATCCAACACAGCTGCAAATATAAAGCAGTCAAGAAAACGAGATATTCATAATTTCTTTTGAAAGAAGGAAAAAAAAAAAAGACATTGTTCTTATTCTGGCCTACACAATCAAACTGAGGAAGGTGCACAAACAGGAATACAGAGTTGAGTAATCTGTAATATGATTTTTATCTTTATTAGGCTTTACAGAGTAGGTTTATTTACTAGCAATCTTGCAACAGCCAGCTAAGAACAAAATTGTATAGCAGGATGTGAAATCTGCCTATCCATACCTATCTTCTGAAGTACTGAAAAATCCCTTCCCCCAAGTCCTGGACATCATTGTTCATTCTCATTAATGTAACTATGGGTTCAGTTTAAAAATTACTTCCAAACAAATTCGGCATTTATTTGGCCATTTCATACTTCTCTCTCCCCAGGACAGAAATTTGCTTACACTCAGCTCTTCTTCTGTAGTTTCCACCTTAAATGGCAAAATAGTTGTATCTTCTTCAGTGTCAGGCTTTTGTCCCTTGCCCCACCATCCCTCTTTGAAGGGTAATATCTCTTCTTTCTTCTTGGAAAGCAAGAAGTAGATGATGACCGCTCCCAGAACCAGGAATACTTCAAGCAGCATAATGCCTGCAAGAGAAGAACAGAACTCTGGAAGGCCAATAAGATAATTCAGACACATACGACTTACTTTTTATAAAGAAAATAGAGGTTTACTTGCATCTTAAGACAGGATTTGATCTACATGATGTTCTGTCACTCACAGGACATCAACACTTCTGTAAAGTTTCAGAAATAGGATGTTTTAACCTACACAACTCAAATAGGGAGGAATTAAGTGTTTTACGTAAAAGCATTTAGTAAAAGCAGAACTCAAAGCAAGTCAAGAGATCACATGACTTGGTAATTAAATAGTCCTCTGATTAAACACAGCCTGTTGGCTTCTTCAGTGGTGCTGATTGCTGCTAAACTTCAACAGTAAAGGAGGTGACTGTAGATACAATTCAAGTGTAATGCTTTTTCCTCCTTTGAGCCTCTAGATTTCCTACAAATTCCAAAGCAGAGCATCTCGTCAGTAAGGCTTACTATATAAGACATATATAGAGAATAAAAAGCAAAGAGCATGAGGGCAGCCACCTTGTGCCTCCCAGTCAGCCTGGGGGGCGGGGCAGGGATATCTTTACATAACCTTTGAACAGCAGTGCAAAGGGGTAGAAAGACCTTCCCTTTCTTTCTCCCTCTGAACTGTTTTAGAGAGAAAACAAAAGACCACAAGCATGCTCTCCTGGCTCTAAACCACCCTGCCCCAAGTGATAAAATTCTGTCAAAGCAAAGAACAACCTGATTTCACAGAATAGCTGCACAACCTGACTGCAGGGCTGTTGTGCTTTAGTCAAACAGAACACCTTAACAAAAATCCATTTTGAATATATTTGAACTGTTTCGTGCTGCAGGTAGAAAAAATAGTTACCAGACTCTAATAATTAATGTTTTCAAGCATCCCTTTAAGTTTGAGAAATATTTGTCACATGGTTTGAAGAACAGTACTGTCATCGTTTTAATGCATAATTTTGAGGAACGTAGTGTTTCAAACACTCATTTGCTGGGGAATTGAGAGGATGTGAAGTATTTCTGAACTTCTGTAGAGCAAGCATGGTTTATCACACAGAACAGTCTTAATTCTCTCCAGAGCTGGAATGTTTTGTTGGTTTTGCTGCTGCAGAGTAATAGATGCTCTGAAATTGCTCAGAGTCAACAGAATGGACCAAATTTATTTCTGGATCAAAACAGGAATTGTAAGACAAGTTAATGGGAGTTCACATGACTATAACAGAAGTAAAATTGACCTTTAAGTACCTTTATGTGACAGGACATGTTTTAGTCACCCTCTTGCCTTTAATTTTCTAATGGCTGACAATAAATACATAAATAAAACTGTAAAAATAAACAAAACCTGTCAAAATAAACACCCACTGAAACATTCAGGGACATGGGTTAGTGGTGGTTTTGGCAGTGTTAGGTTGATGGTCGGACTTCATGATCTTAAAGGTCCCTTCCAACCTAGACAATTCTATGAAACATTTGTAGAGAAGTAAGGCACTATGCAGATAGGGCAGCAAGCTACAAAAATATATTGCTTACATATGCAAGTGCTACACCCTTGAAAAGTGACCTGAAATTCCTTAATCCTCAGAGGCTGGAGAAATGGAAATGATAGGCACTGAAAGAATGTGATCTGTTTGTTTCACTTGTCCTTCCATAATTTCTGTTGTTTGAGGACATACTAGTTTTTCTTCACCATGTTCTCTGGAGCACTAGACAACAATCTTTTCCCACCTCTAGCATACTCACGCCGTAACTTACCCCAAAATTAAAGTTTGTCCAATTTCAGCTTGCCTCAACACATAAACCAATGCAGTCTAGGAGCCTCCAGAGCACAATTAAGTTTTACCGCAGAGCAGAACTGGAGGGGCTTTTAGAAACCTCAGAGCACTTTACATAGAAATAATACCTACCACAGTATTTAACAGCATTTCTGTTACTAAGTCTTCACAGAGAAGAAAAGCAACTTCCCCGAAATCGCAGCATAACTCAGGCCATGTCTAGACTAGAAAGGTTCACCAGCATAACTATGTAAACACCACATACGAAAAGTTCAAACTCTTGGCCAACTTCAATATGTTTACAAAGCCCCACAACAAACAGCCATGCCAAGAGAAAAAGAGAGCTGCTGTCAGTGCCAGCCCTGTTGTTCAGGCAGGATGGCTGCAGTACCTAGAAAAACAGGACTCTTTCTCCTGGCTTATGCTGTATCAGCACCATGGCCTCTGCCAACATGGTGACAGAGGCACACCACCTAACACAGAACTGCATTACCCAGGAACAGAATTCCAGCCCATTCTCTAGCAAGAAACTTCTATGTCCTAAGTCACTGGAGTACCCAGGGCTTCAAAAATATTTCTGTTTCCCCCATCTGCTCTCAGAGGGACTTGAGAAATCAGAATTTTTGCAGCAGAAGACACGGGAGGGATTGTGCACAAACATCTATTTTGTATTTGCCCTGGAGTGTGTGTACAAAGAACTCACTATGTGAAAAGGTCATAGAATCACAGAATGATTTCAGCTGGAAGGCACCTTAAGATACCCATTTTTGCAATTAATTCCAAATGGACTTTAAGATGAGCTTGTTTACAATCCGGCAGTAAGTGCCAAAATAAATTTCAGGTTTCACAAAAGTTGTCTTCCATTGCAGAGAACTGGGGCCAGTGACAAATTGATTTGCATGAGATGTCATTTTGATTTGGAAGAAGCCGCCTGTGACACTGGCTGGATTATTTTTTGCTAACAGAGGGAGATCCCAAGTTGCTCTCTACATTCAATCTCTCTCAGCTCCCTTGAAAGTGCTTACAAAATTCCTAATTACAACAAACACTGGGGCTCCAACTATGCTACATTTTTTTTTCCTGAGTGCACAGGTGGAAGAGAAAGGGCAAAGTGCGTCAGCAGTATTTTAACTTGCACCAGTTCATAGCACACTCAAAGGGATTGTTTTGCTAGTGATGAGTTACTGGAACGCAGCATGCTCCTACTAACCCCTCCAGCCCGCGCTGAGAGGAGACCACTTAGAGCAAATGTACTCAATGATTTCCCAAGTTTGCTATTCAAGTTAGTTCTCTAAAACTCCTGTGTGTTATTTGAACAGCATAAAGCAGCCTCAGTCATGACGCATCTGCAACAGAATTTCCTCCTCTAATCACTACTGAGCTGTCATGAGATGAAAGTTATTAGCTCCTTACAATTCTTTCATAATACAACAATATAGCACCACAAATGTGGAAGGAGAACACGTACAATAAAACTTCTCTATACTTGCAGTTTCCAGAGATGTAAACAACAAAGTGCTGGTGGTTTTATTCTCTGAAGTCTCTTGATGCAACCATGCTGGCATGTTGCCTTTAAAAAATTACTACTTCAAAGGGAGTTCATGTTTTGGTTTGGCTTTTTCCTCTTTTTATGCAACCAAAGGCAAGACCCTTAGAAGGAAATATTTCCATTTATTCCACTGTCAAGTACTTAGGCGCCAAGACTTTGCTGTACTCTGGGGTGGATATTGTTTGTAGGCAGCACTTAAATACCTTAGACAGTGCTTTTATCCTAAAGAGTCCAAGGAAGAATGTTTTTGTTTTGCTACTTTAAAAACATGTTTTGAAAGAAAAGTTTTGAAGTGTGACGGATCCAGTAAATAGCCCAAAAACTTGCTCCTCTTGAAGAAGGCCAAGTGCATCTCAAGAAATACATTGTTTGCAAGAAAACCCCAAAACTTTCTTACAGTATCTTACTGCTCCTTGTTGAAAACACTTGTTTTTCAGCATTGTTTGCATTTCGATTTGCACTGTCCCCTATTCGTGCATTAACAGCAGAGCTAATAGCTCCACAAGAAGAGAACAATTATTATTTACACGAAAGCTATGTCCTGTCTCATGCCCTGTCTTCATCAGTATCCAGTAACAGATGCCCCGGAGAACAACACTCTTTATTTTTTTAGAGAGATCATCTATGAAATAGCTTAATGGTAAAATCCCCATCTTGTTCTACTAGTAATCATTCACCTTTGCCTTGCAGCATTTGAATCCATTTGAAACACGTCACTGGAGAAATAAGCAACTGGAAAGACTTTCAAGCTAACATCTGAAAACCCATTTTGACCCAAACGCTACACAACCCAGCTACTATGGATTGAAAGATGCACAATACCCACAACTCCGAGTGGTGCTATTAAACCTTATCAGTGCAAAACAGGTAATGCATGGGTGAAGCAAAAGTTCTAAAAGACCGTGCTGCTTTGAGACACGTACCAGAAGTGATCATGGTTTAGAGTTAATAACATTTTCTCTCCAAGGCTGGTTTACTAGCAGACTGCAAGGTAGCTCAGGGCACTTAGCACTCTCTGATGCTGTCAGATACAAGGTTTATTGATTGATAATTACTCTGCAGGAGAAATAACAGCTCAATTTAGAAGTGATGTTTCTGTTTATTTTTGTTCTGTTACATAAACTCCCCCATTAGGTTTTACTGAAAAGGCACCCCTCTGCTGCAGCGTCTTTGTTTACAGATCGGTTTGCCTGAAGAACAGCAATTGCAGGTTACTCTTCCCAACAGATCTGAAGGAAAAACAATCCACCGAAGTACTTAATACTCATGGTACCTGTAACAGGGTCCCCTAGCACTGACAGCCTAAAAGGGACTGAGACGTGGCACAGTCCCAGAAGCTTCAACCTCAGTCTACACCCTACCATCTCTAAGCATCACATTTTTGTCATTATGTAACACTGGAAACAGAAGAAAACCATGAAATGAAGACATTTGTATAAGAAAAGCTTCCTCTTTATGTAGTTTATGGAACATTATGACAAGTTTGAAAATAGCGTAGCAACACAGGAATTGCTTTGCATGCAAGTGATAACATCTTCCAGGTGAGCAAAAAATTATACGTTAACATTGTAGGAACGTAGGGGAGGTAGGCATCAGATGGAATAAAGCATCCTACACAAGGAAGCAAATCAAAGACAGGAAATACAAATCCAGTTTCTGGCTTGTCTCGATAAGAAATTTAGCATTTACATTTTT